ATCTCATGTTGTATCAACTAAATTCCATCAGTTGGTTCCTTGAGCTTGCTGTTCCTTTGGCCTCTCTTCTTCCCTGTGTTCACATGGCAGACTCATTCACATCCAAGGCTCAGCTCCAGTTCTTCTGTCCAGAGGCCTTTCCTCAGCTTCCTTGTTTACTGCTGGAACTTTAAGTGCTTAGAAAAGTACTTGACCTATGGTGGGCTTTCAATAAATATTTGTGGAATATGTGAAAAGTGAGTGCTTAGACTAGGGTTTAATTCTTTTATTTTTTTAATAGATTTCTGTTAATATATCCTAACATTGTTTTGTTCTATAGGGGGAGACGGGGAGGCCAGTGGAACAACTTTCATTGTCAGCTCATCTTGAACACAGGATCAATTTAAACCCCTAGGACTTACTGATTTGGTAAACTGCTTTCAAGACGAACCTCCCTCTGATGCGGGAATCTCATGTTTTTAATTTATGTGTAGGATTTTATATTTGTCTTTGTGAAATGTCAGCTTATTGGTTTCATATAAAACCCTCCACAATGGCCATTTTCTTTTAACTGGATTTTGTTTTGTTCTGGTTACAAAAGTAATACCTTTTCATTATAGATAAGGAGCTCCACACAGAAGATAATTAAAACCTCTCAAATTCTACCACCATGAAAGAGCTCCTGTTTTTATTTTGACATATAATTTTATTAATCTTGAGAAAATGCAGCTTTTCAAAAAATATTGGCATCTTATTATACATACTGTATTGTAGATTGTCCACTGATTTTTTTTTGTAGAAGTTTTCGTATCACTGAAGTCATGTAAAGCATAGTGTTTATTAGATAAGTAATATTCCCTTCCACTTTCTTTTCTTAAAGACTAGGACTTTGGGCAAGTTACTTACTTCTCTGTGCTTTAATTTCTTGAACTACAATGAAGGGTTAAAACCCCCTCATACAATATTTGTGAGAATTCGATGAGTTAATGCATGCAAAGAGCTTAACACGTACCTGATATTCCATAAACACTCAGTAAATGTTGGCTATTATTATTGGGGCTTTGGTGGCACAGTTTTTAAGAGCTATGGCTGCTAACCAAAAGGTCAACAGTTTGAATCCACCAGCTGCTCCTTGGAAACCTTATGGGGCAGTTCTCCTCTGTCCTGTAAAGTAGCTATGAGTCACAATCAACTTGATGGCAACAGGTTTTTGGTATTGTGTAAATCTGCCAAAACTTCTCTTACCATTTCCCTATTCTTGTACATGCAGATTTTTCCCATTTTCTTGCCATTTTATAACTGATAAATTTACTGAAATTGTTTTGAATTTTAATTTTGTCTTACATCTCTTTCACTATTCCACCCTAACTTTGAGTTATCCACAAACTTGATAAGTGTGCCCTTGAAATATTCAAGTTATTAATAATATTGTTACAGAAGAAGGCACTCGGCCATATTATTGAAGACCACTCTCCAGATTGAGAATGATTCATTAACCCTCTTTAAAAGGTTTTGCTATTCAATCAGCTACATAGCTCTCCTGCCATCTTGCTCATATTTCCCCATTTTTGTCCATATGGACATCATGAAAGATTTTGTCAGATAAATTACCAAAACAGCAGTTCCTTAATCTTCTAGTGTTACTGATACTGTCTCCCTCTGCCCCCCTTTCCCCCCCCCAAAAAAAAAGGAGGAAAATAATGTTTCTTGCAACAAACACTATCTCTGGAGTGATTTTTTTTTTAATAGAAGTGTTAATGTCAGATAATGTACATAGCAGATTTATATTGTAATAAATTGAAATATTGAGCAAATTGTAGCATCATTTTTGGATAAACTCATTTTTCTTAATGTAAGATGAAGCATCATTTTAAGTTTAGAAAGTTTTATTTTAAAGAAGAGGAAGATTTAAGAGAAAAATATATTTTAATTAACTATCCAGTTATTATCTACTTTAAAAAATAAGCTTAATTTCATATGTAAAATATATTTCCCTATACAATTCAGTATTGAATTTTAATGTTATTTCATATTTACTTTATAAATAAGAATTTTCATCATTCTGATACAACTATAATTTTGTGTTTGCATTTCACCCACTCAGGCTGCATTATAGTCTCTCAATATAGACTTCTCCTTAAGTTCTTAACCCTTGTTCATTTGCTGGTTTATGCTTAATTTCAAATGGATAAAAGGAATTGTTAGATACTGCACTAATATCTCTACATTCTTTCACTTTGCATTTCCTGCTCCCCCCAACCCAACTGAAGTGTATGAACATAGTCATCTACTAAAGAAAAAATTTTTTTTCAAATACAGTAAATTAAAGATTTAAAAGATCAGTAATACTCTGTGTCACCCAGGATGTGGTAAAACAGGCACTCTTGTATACTGTTGGTTCAAGTGTAAGTTGGTACAATCTTTAAGGAATGCACTTTGGCATTATCTATTAAAATTTGTAACGTGCATTCCTTAACTTCGTTTTACTTCTATGGATTTAGCTTATAGAAATACATAGGTTTGCAGTGGCAGTGATTTATTTCCACTGATGTTCATTACCAGATTGCTGATAAAAATGGGAAATAACCAAAGAATCCATTAATTGGCAGTTTCTTAAATTACGGTGTTTCTATAAAATGGAGTACAAGCATCATGGAAAGAATGAGGTACAGCTGTATTCACCAACGCGTAAATATGACCAGTATATATTTAACAGAATATCTTGAGAGGAGCAGATTGCAGGAAAGTATGCAGTAATCCCTTAAGTTAAAAGTTTATTTAGTAAATGAGTAGGATAAAACAAATACTTTGTACTGTATTTTTTTCCAGAGACTAGGATTTTAAAGGCTGTTCACTTTAGTCACATACATTTCTCTGTCGTTTGAATTTTTACTGCAGGCTTTTATAACCTTTCTAGTTCAAAAGAAAATACAAAATATTAGAGGAAGTAAGTAGGAAAAAATTAACTAAGCATGTTCATTATATCATAGCTCTTTACCAGAACCTTTTGGGATTAAATGTGAAAACCTAAGCACAATTCACACAGATTTTTTCCTGGCAGTATTTTAGAATGAATTGAGTTGGGCTTTCTTTGGTATAGGAAGATGCTCAGTTATGCAGTTGGAAATTAAGGTATTGATTCACGTAATATGTGAAAACATCCATCTCTTTGTAGAAATCACCAACCATAAGAGCATCCAAAAACCATTTTCCATTCGCTCCCTGAACTATCTTATAACTGTTGTAACCTTCAACAGCAAACGTATCGAGACTCTGCTGCGTATAGGGCAAAATCCTAGGCTCTGAGAAGCTAGTATCTCTAAGATAGAACTTACAGCATGTTGATATATGCTGGGGATTAGTGTGAGCATTTTCCCAGGGTTTAACATTGTAAGCGGAGCACAGAAGTACGTGGCTATCGTTATGATGTGAGAGCCCACAGCTTCCACACACTCTGGTACTGAGGGACAGAGCAGCGTGGATTCGACCAGAGTTGATTTCAGAGGCACACTAACATTTGCTCCAGGTACTATTCAGAGGTGCTCTTCAGAGAGTAAATCCTCGCTGTCCATGCAAACTTTGAAATGTTTTCAGTGCATTTTCTCAACTTAATTGTTAGAAATTTCATAGGTAAAGTTATGATCTTAAAGGTTTACAAGATGCAATTAGACTTAATTTTTTAAGGTTCTCAACAAATATTATTTGAAGTCTTAGTATCACAGTTTCCCTTATATATGAGGTGTGGATGTATTTTCATTGTGTAGGTAACACATGACCCACCTGATGTTCGCTTCCTTAATACCTAAGGGCTCTCATGTTACTTTACAGGTCAGCAGTCTTCTTGAAGCCTAATTATTCATGAATATGCCTTTCAGAGTAAGTTTGAGAAAAGGCCGGGCTCACATCTGTCTTGGTCTTAGTACCCGGTCATACAGCTTCCTCACCTAGGTTCCCTGAGTCAGTCTTTATAGGAAGACTTCATTGTTACTTTAAATTCTTGACATGGTACTCATATGAATATCCAGCAGAACACATACTGTAGTCAAGTACAAGGTTTTAGTATTGTCCACCTATCTGCCAAATTGACCGCTGCTATTAATAATAATTGTGGTTAACGTTTATTGAGCACTTGGTAAGTGCCAAGGTGTCATTTTAAGCCCTCTGCGTATATTAGCTTCGTTAACAGGGACGGCTGTCCTTTGAGGAGTAGGTGCTGTGTTATACCCAAGTAACAACTGTTCTGTTCTGAAGACCAGAGAGATGTTAAGAAATTGTCCAGGGTCACATAGCTCATTAGAGCTGGGTTTCAGACCCAGGCAATGTGACCACATAGCTCTGTTTTCAGTTACTACCTCATACTACCTTCTTCCAGTAAGGGCATAGATAAGGGAAAATGTAACTGTAGCATTATGTTTCGTGAATAAATTTTGTTACATTAGTAAGTTACATGTATAATATACTGTTTATTTTAAGGTCACAGCTTTAATTATTTTCATTTTCCATCTCCACAATAAAATATGGTATCAAACATTCATTGTTGTTGTGTGCTGTCAAGTCGATTCTTACTCATAGTGACCCTAAAGGACGCAGTAGAACTGCTCTATAGGGTTTCCAAAGCCGTAAATCTTTATGGGAGCAGATTGCCAAGTCTTTTCCAGATGCTGGGTTTGAACTGTTGACCTTTCTGTTAGCAGCCGAGCAGCTAACCATTGTGCCACCAGGGCTCCTTATAAAACATTCATTAGCAGGACTTAAAGTGATTATAAAACCAAAAACCCATCGCCATCAAGTTGATTTCCAACTCGTAGTGACCCTGTAGGACAGAGTAGAACTGCCACATAGGGTTTCCAAGGCTGTAAATTTTATGGAAGCAGACTGCCACATCTTTCTCCTAAGGAGTGGCTGGTAGGTTCGAACCGCCAACCTTTTGCTTAGCAGCTGAGTACTTTAACCACTGTGCCACCAGGGCTAAAGAGGTCATAGTAAATATTAATTGTGATTTTTGTCTTCTTTCTCCCCAGTTTCATGGTTTTCTCCAAAAGAAAATATTCTTATCATTATTTTCCCAGTTTTGGCTATACTGTTATCCTGGGGACAGTTTGGTGTTGTGAGTAAGTACTTCTATTTTTTATTTATGCTTTAGTGATGAAATGGTTATTCCTTGGAGACAATATTAGTGGAATACTTCATTTAACAGAAGAGTTGTATTAAAAAGAATGCTATTGTGATAAATAAGAATATGCAGTTTGGTTATTAATGTTAATATTCTCCTTGAAGTATATGTTGTCCCCCATATTTTGCTAACTTATATTTTACTAAAGTTCACTTTTAATCATTAGAAGCTGGTTGTTATTTATTTATTTTGCCTTCTGTTATGGATTGAAATGTACCCCAAAAATGTGTGTCAACTTGGTTAGGCCATGATTGTCAGTATTGTGTGGTTGTCCACTATTTTGTGATCTGATGTGATTTTCCTGTGTGCTGTAAATCCTAACCTCTGTGATGGTTAATGAAGCAGAATTAGAGGCAGTTATGTTAATGAGGCAGGATTCAATCTATGAGATGGGGTTGTATCTTGAGTCAGTCTCTTTTGAGATATAAAAGAGAAGCCAAGCAGAGAGACGTGGGGACCTCATACCACCAAGAAAGTAGTGCCAGGAGCAGAGCGTGTCTTTCGGACCTGGGGTCCCTGTGCTTAGAAGCTCCTAGACGAGGGGAAGATTGATGACAAGGATCTTCCTCCCGAGCCAACAGAGAAAGCCTTCTCCTGGAGCTGGCGCCCTGAATTTGGACTTCTGGCCTACTGCACTGTAAGAGAATAAACTTCTCTTTGTTAAAGCCATTCACTTGTGGTATTTCTGTTATAGCAGCACTAGATAACTAAGACACCTTGTAAGAATGAAGAGTGGGAATACTGGTAATTACAGTATTTTAAACTCATGTACTATTTTAATGTTTCAGAACATTGATACACATTATTTGATAAACAGTCACAGCCTACATTAGTATTAAGAAATGACATTGTGCTTTTCAACAGTAAGATTCCACTCACTGTATTTCCCCAGTTTGAGCTGCTCTCTATACATGTGTTCACCCATGAAAACGCCTGTTTGCCCATGTTTTGTCATCTTACTGTGGTTCTAACGCCTCTAAGGAAGCAGCCACAGGACAGTTGCGTTCTGTGGTCACACTTTGCTGTAACAATCCTGTGACCAAACTTCTTAGGGCAGATGTTGATGCTGCATCAGATTTAGCATCAACAGTAGAGAATCGTCACAACCAGGTAATGTGCATTCTGGGTAATGTGTATACTCAACCATATTTCCATACCAGTTTGGTAAAGGAAACTTACTAAATTAGTGAAGTCGTGAGATAACAGATTTTTAGACTTTTAAAATGTAAGATTTATTCCTAGTCTCGCTAAAACCCAGAACCAAACCCTTTGCTGTCGAGTCAGTTCCAACTCATTGCAACCCTGTAGGACAGCTCCTTTCCAAGGAGCAGCTGGTGGATTCAAACTGCTGACCTTCTGGTTAGCAGCTGTAGCTCTTAACCACTGTGCCACCAGGGCCCCAAAACATCGAAATAGTCATTGAAGGAATGAATAATGGCGAATTCATTTATTTTGCAACCTTTAGAAAAGTGAAAGCTGGATATTGTAGTGGATTGGTCTCATGTATTTTACGAATCTTACTCAGAATTTTAGGCTCTGTGTATCTCCAGTGGCGTATGCACATGGAAGGGAGATGACTGATTCTGTATTTTAAGGGCTTTCCTCAATGTAAGGCACTCCCTAGAAATGCTCTTGGATTTCAGAGATGTCTGCAGCTTTTGTCTAAAAGGAGGAAAGAGGAAAGAATGGACTGACAGTGGCAACTGTCAAGACATTTCACAGCTCTTACTTTGAAGACAGTATCTAGACTTCTTTAGGAAGTTCTCTTAGAATTTCAGTATGCCTTTTATGTCAAGAAAAAGAATGTTATTCAAGACCTATTCAGTTCTTCACTGATGTTAGAGAAAGCCTTGAACAGTACTGGCAAACCCAGGCTTTAAGGGCTAAGGCATGTGTTTCGGGTAGGGAGTTACTTCACAGTAGTGTGATTTGTTGAATTTGGATTGATACAAGTTTGCTGATGATGACAGTATTGTTAGTGACATTATTATTTGTGGAATGAACCAAGAATGAGTAGTAGGGTTGATTTAGTTCCATCTGTTCACTCTCAGCCATATTTTTACAAAATAAGCATTAAGATTTTTTTTTTTCTGAATTAAAAAAGTAATTCTTTAGAACACCTTATACAATACAGGAAGTTATGGGGAAAAAACAAAAATCATGTATAGTTCCACAACCTTGAAATAAACTACTGGCATATTTTAGTTAATTTTCTGCTTCTCTTTCTGTCTTTTTTTCACTCATTTTTGTTATCTCTTTTTAAAAAAATAATTGGATGCATTCAGCTTATGTACTTGCACATCCTGATTTTTCCCTCATGTCTTCAGAAACCTTTTTATAGCTGCCTGTGTTTGACTTTTATGGATGTACTATAATTTACTTACTCTTATCTTGATGGATATTAAGTGTGTTTCCTTTTTTTTTTTTGATACTCTGAAAGTAACTTAGCTAAAGATATGTAAGATTGGTAATGGCAGAGATATTTTAAGGCTCTTACTGCATACTGCCAAAATGTTTTCCAGAAACACTGTATTAACCATACTGCAGATGAGAATGCCTGTCTCAGCTCACAATCCTGAGATTGTTATAATTCTAAAGTCTTTGCTATTTTAATGGGTGAAAAAAAAGTCTTGCTTTAATTTTCATTTTTGTGTTAGTGAAGTTGAATGTTCTTTTTTATATTTATTCTACAGGTTGTATTTTCAGGAAGGTGCTTATGAACCTAAAGAAACATTTTGGTAGACGTTTTTACATAGGCTTGTCTTAGGACAAGTACATGTGGTGTAGGGGATACCTATATACTCAACTTGCCCAGCCTAGAGTCACACTTAAAGATGTAGAGGATAGAAAAACCAAAACCAAACTCATTGCCATTGAGTCAGTGATGGCTCATGACCACTGTCATGGATTGAATTATATCCCCCCAAAAATGTGTGTATCAATTTGGCTAGCCCATGATTCCTAGTATTGTGTGGATGTCCTCCATTTTGTGATTATAATTTAATGATAAAGAGGATTAGGGTGGGATTGTAACACTACCCTTACCAGGTCACATCCCTGCTCCAATGTAAAGGGAGTTTCCTTGGGGTGTGGCCTGCACCACCTTTTATCTCACAAGAGATAAAAGGAAAGGGAAGCAGGCAGAGAGTTGGGGACCTCATACCACCAAGAAAGCAGTGCCGGGAGCAGGTGTCCTTTGGAACCGGAGTTTCTGCACAGAGAAGCTCCTAGTCCAGGGGAAGACTGACGAGAAAAACCTTCCTCCAGAGCCGACAGAGAGAAAGCCTTCCGCTAGAACTGACATCCTGAATTTGGACTTCTGGCCTGCTAGACTTGAGAGAATAAATTTCTCTTTGTTGAAGCCTCCCACTTTTGGTATTTCTGTTATAGCAGCACTAGATAACAAAGACAACTACCCATGTGCTTCAGAGTAGAACCATGCTCCAAAGGATTTTTTTGGCTGTAATCTTATGGAAACAGATCTCCAGGCCTTTCTTCCATGGATCCCCTGGGGGATTTGAACCACCAGCCCTTTTATTAATAGCTGAGAGCAAGCTGTTCACGTTACCCAGGGAACTCTGATCTTGAGGATAATAGTAGTTAAACATTTGTCAAGTTCTTGATCTGTGTGATAGCACTGTGTGGAGCACTCTGCATCTGGAATTCTGTTTACTTCTCCTAGGAACTCTATAGGGGCAAGTACTATTGTTATCATTCCCATTTTGTACATTAAACGACTGAAGCAAAATGAGGTTAGGCAGTTTGTGCACAGTCATCCAGCTGTTTCCTGGTAGTACAGGGATTTGGATGAGTGCTGTTTACCACTGTACTGTGTTACCTCCCTGTCAGGAATCTGAGAAATTTCTTTCCATAAAGGGTGGACCTGCCACTTATATCTGGGTTCACAAACAGAGTAGATGAGACTGTTATTGATTGAGCCTGGTGTGGACCTAATTTATTTATTCAGAAAATGCCTACTTACAGGGTGCCTACTGGCACTGGTCTCAATGCTGGAGACTTGGACGTGAAGCCCATGTGGTCCCTGGCTTTGCAGCACTCACATTTCAGTGGTGGAGACATGTATATATGCGTGCTCTCTATCTTCTGGCATATCTTTGAATCTAAATGAATCTAAATCTATTTTTCTTTTGGTGTCCTTTGTAAGAGACCTCCTTCCTGTGGCCTGGGATTCTGCCAAATAGGAAAGCACCTCTATTTTTGGTGCTTAGTTATACTTTTTTTTTTTTTTTTTTAAGATTCTAGTATGTTTCAGCCCCAGAGGTATTAATATTAGCTCAGACCCATGACCTTTACTTTCAAGGTTTTAGTTCCCTATAGCTTCCTGATTACAATTTACGGTCTTGACTTCAGGGAGTTTCTCTCAGTGGTTTTTCTTGCTCTGCCTGTGAGTCTCTTGTTGTCTAAGAGAAACCTGGACCTTTCAGTAAAGCCAGCAGGTTATGCCCTTACATTGAGTACAGACAGGTTTGTTTATTTGTTGTATCGTGGTTAAAACCTAGTCCCGCTTAGAAAAGACTCCCACTCACCCCCTTCCTTCCACCCCTGGTCACCACTAATAAACTTTTGTCTGTGTACATTTGCCTATTTCAACTGGGATCATACCGTATTTGTCCTTTTGGGACTGACTTATTTCACTCAACATAATGTTTTCAAGATTCATCCATATTGTACCATATATCAAAACTTCATTTCTCTTTATGGCTGAGCGGTAGTCCATTACATAGATAACATACCACGTTTTGTTTATTTACTCATCTGTTGATGGACATTTAAGTTGTTTGTACCTTTTGGCTATTATGAACAATGCTGCAGTGAACATTAGTGTACAAGTATCTGTTTACATTCCTGCTTTCAATTCTTGGTATTCTGCTGCATCATATGGTAGTTCTGTGTTTTTAAGTTTTTTGAGGAATTGCA